GTGGCTGTTCGTTCTCTCTCGTTTCGCGCATGCGTACGCAAAATAAGCGTGATGGAAGGGAGGCATTGAGGAGCGAGGTGGAACAAGGAACAAGGAATGAAACGACTGAAACAGAACGGCTAGAAGTGCTGAAATTAGTTATGGCCGTATAAGTGCGTATAAGCGGAAACCGCGTTGTGCAAAGTGAAATGCTGGAACGCGCACAACGTGCGTGAACGTGCGGAGTTTGGTACTTTTGGCAGGTTACGATCGACCGATCGCTCGTCCGTCGACCGACTCGCCGACCGGGACCGACACGGAGGCCGGATATCATGGTGCGCGAAATCGCGACAGGTGTCCCGAGCCCGTTGACCAGTTGCACGAGGGAGGAGACCCGACGACGACGAGAACGCGCGCGCGCGCGAGCGAGAGCAAGAGCAAGAGCGTGAGCGAGAGAAAACGACGACGACGACCGAGGCCGAGGGAGTGACACGCGACGTGGTGCGTGCCGTGCGTGGTGGCCGTGGTGGTGCGTCCGTCCGCCCGCTCGCCCATCCCTACATCCCGTACGCGCGGCACGGTGCGGCATTTACGGCACTTCACTTTGCACAAGATCATGAAATTTTTGTCTTTATGTTAGTTGCAATAAACCAGAATTTTAAACTTCCAATTGCGTATTACTTCACTGATAAATTAAATGGCCGTGAAAAAGCAAAGTTATTAAAGACTATTTTATGTGCACTTCATGAAAACGATCTAGATATTGTCAGTATTACGTTTGATGGAGTATCTTCCAATATATCTATGTGTGAAGAATTGGGCGCACGTTTGAAACAAACTGAAATTGAACAGATTGTACCATATTTTGTCCATCCCGCTGATGAGTCTAAACGTATATATATTTTTTATGACGCGTGTCACATGATAAAACTTGTTAGAAATGCACTTGGTAAGGAAGACTTAAGTGATAACGAAAATCATATAATTAGTTGGAAATTTATACGGCAATTAATTTCGTTACAAGACGCGGAAAAATTACACCTTGCGATTAAAGTTAGAAGTAGACATGTATACTTTTACAACGAAAAAATGAAAGTACATTTAGCAGCACAAGTTTTCAGTAATTCGGTAACTGCTGCACTTGGGTTTGGAGAATATGACTTAAAATTACCTCATTTTGCCGGAGCTTCAGCAACCACGACATTTTGCAAGACATTTAACGACGTATTTGACATATTAAATTCTAAAAATTTAAATAATAAAACAGAAACCAAACGAGCAATAACGAAAGATAAAATACGTATTCTAAAAGATAAAATTGAGAGGTTTGTTTTATATATTAAATCTTTAAAAATTAAAGACGTTCCTGTACTTCAAAGTGTACGAAAAACAGGCTTTATTGGGTTTGTTATTGATTTACAAAATAGTATTGCTTTAGCAGAAAATACAATAGAGTTTTTGTTAACATACAAATTATCCCAAGACCACATTGAAACTTTCTTTTCTTTGATTAGAAGAATGAACGGTTGGAACAATAATCCGAGTGCGAAACAATTCAAAGCATCTTATAGAAAAATATTACATTTAGCAAATGTGTCTGTTCCTTTAAGTGCAAACTGCATTCCACAAGACGACACTGTACTACTTAATGTATCTAATAATGAATCTGTAAGAAACGAGCAAGTAACTGCACATAGTGTACAACAAAACGCAGATAATGATTCTGAGCAAGATGCTGCAAATGCTATTTTTATGGATCATGATTATTTTAATCAAAACAATAATTGGTTCTTAACTGAATATGCTGAGGAAGTTATTACGTACATGTCTGGGTTTGTTGCTAAAACTATTACACACAAAATTGATTGCTTATTTTGTAAACAATTGCTCATTGCAAGCGAGGCACAGAAAGAATCAAACACATTTACTGGTAAACTGTTACAGCCAAAAAATCGCGGTGGTTTGTATGTAGCATCACCTGATGTTATTATAATATGTAAGAACGCAGAAAAAACTTTCAGAAGTAATCAAGACAAATCATTTACAACTAAAAATATATTAAATGTTTTAATATGTCAATCTTTCCGCTCACTTCCTTCATATGTATTTAATACAG